AACTTAATGCCCTAGATGATATTGAAGCAATCAATGGCTCCGTAATGGAGGACTTAAAACTTTTTTTTTTTTTCCTATTTATGTACTGGTGGTAAGGGCGTCTCGTGAACCTACACAGGTAGCTACCATGACCCTCTTTAAAACGTGGGACAGACATTATGCTATAAAACCGAGACTTATAACTCATGTCTCAGCTCGTCTACCCATTTAAGTAATTAAAAAAAAATACACAAACAAACAACATGCCACATTGAAACAGCGTGCCAAAGGCGAGTATATCTTATTATCGAGTTAAGTCGATAATAAGATATTTTCCTTTCCGGCAAAATACTTAAAAAATTCGTAAAGTGTATATCAATATACTCGTAAATATAATACAGATAAATATAAAGGTTATTCAATTATTTTCATGTTTATATTGTCGAACGACCTCTATGAAATTTTTTATATTGTAATATATAATCGCTTTAAAAACACGAAAATATGAAGAAATAGAAACCCCGCTGTAAAATATTAAAATAAAAAGGGCCTCTTAGCAACTAAGAAATGGCTGAGAAGCATCTTTGATGTTGTTAGGCGAGATAATTTTATTTGTAAATTAATTTCTACAACGAATAATAAATATGATTTAATTCCCATAAGACGCAACCACGACGGCCACGAGCCAACCGTAACTTTGCAGTAGCCATTACCATTATGTTGCGCAACAATGCAATCTTCCATCGATCTCAAGATATATTGCACCTCATTGCACTCAAACTGTACGTAAAACTTCCGACAAATCCCTTCTATACAATAAAGCTAGCAACAAATCAAGGAGCAATATTGGTTTTGTTCAAATCACTCCGGGCCTATGGGAATGAAACCACATTAGTGGATTCCCGCGATTTTCCGCATGGGATAAGATACGTTCATAGATTTTCTGCCGTGGTTTCGTGGTCAGGCTACTATTTATCGGTTCGAGAACTCGAATAAATCTAATGAGTAACGTATCTAATGTTTTCTGTATAGAAGTCGTGACATTTTAACGTGGGGACCCGGTCCCTTTAGTAGATATCACAATAATACACATCGTTCGTGCTGTAGTTTATCCAGATTTTAATTTTACCACGATTTCCGACACGTTCTTAACCAATATCTTCAAATATCAAATCTAGTTTGATTTTTGGACAAAATAATGTACGTGAGATTAATGTTTTCCTGATATTTAGAACATCGGACCAGTTTTGTTTTTTATTGAAGCAGAATTACGTAAATTTTTTTTATTTTTTTTTTATTGCTTAGAATTGTGGACGAGCTCACAGCCCACCTGATGTTAAGTGGTTACTGGAGCCCATAGACATCTAGCACGTAAATGCGCCACACACCTTGAGATATAAGTTCTAAGGTCTCAGTATAATTACAACGGCTGCCCCACCCTTCAAACCGAAACGCATTACTGCCGTACCCGTGCGGACTCACAAGAGGTCCTACCACCAGTAAAAAAACTCTGGGCTTATTAAGCGACTTCCGAACATCACAGCGTGAGCGCCACCACCCACTTTGAAACTTCAATACGGTAAAACGTACGCTATCTTTGGTCCACGCTCCAATACATATTTATCATCGCTTCAATTCGAATTTCGTAATGAAGATTGAACATAACAGTCGTGACTCACTGTGGCATAACTAGACCACTAAGTCCAAAGCTACTTACCTATATCGCATTATAGAATTTTAAACTGGCGCAATTGAAGCATTAAAAATCGAGTAAGAGAAGATCGTGATCGTAGTTATGCAAAACGGTTTCAGTAAATGATAGCATAGGAACATGCGGTGTTGATCACACGAAATATAGGTAAATATTACGAAAACGACAATCACCTTTGAGTAGATCAAAAAATGCCTCTCGTATAAAAAAATTTTTTTTTTTTTTTTTTTTTATCTTTTTTTATTTATGTATGTACGTGACACCATCGATAACTGAATAAATTTACAAATCACTCCATTTAACTAGCATTCACCATTGTCGGAACATTTCATTGGCATTCAAGGCACGGAATACAAAGTTCATCTGGATTCTAATGCCGTTTTAGCATGGCGTCTGCGGTATTTCTACATACGACACATAAAAACTGATCTTATTTTAATGAACTTATTTATCACTTTCAACTAACTTTTAAAGAAGTAGATTTGTAATTAATTTTATTGTATTGTTCTGTAGAAATTTATTATTAAATTTGATTTTATCATTTTTAATTTTTATGTGTAATAATTTCGGGAAATCTCATTTATCAGTAATTTTTCTAACTATGTTTTTAAGTAGCTTGAATTATTATTTCTTTTTACGAAACCAATTATTCTTCGAAATATTCTTTCATTGTGCAATATAAAACAAAAAGACTCATCATCCCACGAAATCCATAAAAGCCTTTAAGATCACTTTGTGTTTGTAATAGCCACCTTGTACCCAAGCGTAAATTACTGTAATTACAAATTTAAGGTACTATAGAGTGTGCCCACAAATTTATAATTTAAAAATAATTAATTCATTTCACAAGCTTGACAGAAGACAAATTATTGTGAATACCTACCGTCGCCTATTTAGATATTATATGTTTTTGGGACTGAGTTCCTTCTTGCAGACTGAAAAAAGTATAGCAATGAAAAATGACACCAAAAACTAACTTACATATTTTATATTGTTGCAATGATTTTTGAAGCTCTACCCAATCACTTATGGAACTGAAACAAAAAAAATATATATTTATATTTACGATAAATAATAAAATACATAGTTCTATATATTATTTTCACTAATATTCCAAAAATGTATGTGAAAAAACCAGCTTTATTCGAATTTATTCACATTTTATGATGCGTTTCATTATTTTATAATGAATCTGTATTTTCAATTTTATCACTACTTAATACAAAGAGACGTCCATTTCAAACGGGTGTCCATAAGACACCTTACCCTTTTTCGTTTTTATTCTTACACCTAAATTACGGCTGACGATCCCACGAGCTATGTATGAGACCACAGTGAATAAAACACATATTCTTCCCCCCACTTTACGGCATGGGCACTACGACTCAATTGCATAAAGGCTCTCGAATAGGCCGGGTACGTGTGTTTTCTTTCGCGGTAAAAATATACAAGCACTGGAATGTTGAAGGCTATAGAGGAAGAGGTAGACCTAGGAAGAAATAGATGGATTGCGTGAAAGACGATATGTGGAAGAGGGGAACAAAGAAATGGTATATGATAGAGGAGTATGGAAGGAGAAAACATATTGCGCCGACCTCAAGTGATTGGGAGAAGTGCAGGAGAATGACGATGTCGGGACAGCGCGCGCACCTCAAATTCTTTGTAGAAATTGGCAATAGAGTTACCTATTGACTCACGCTCCATCCTACCACCAGTAAATATGTTTTTAGTGAAATCATAAACACATATTAACAATGCAATCGTTCGAGGCTCTCAACAATTGAAAACTATTTAGTGACGCTTGCGCACCAGCGTCGTGATGTACTTCGGATGGCAATCACACCGGTTCACGACTGTGTTCGACCTACGATTAACGCCGAACTAAATGCACAGAGTTTCATTACACCTCCACGGTAATTACTCAAACCTTCACTTCGTTTGACACACGATGACTCAGTGCACGCGAATGGGTGGCTCTAACGTTACCTCACTACGTAAAGGCAGATGTTACGTCAAAAGACAAAGGTTTTAGCAATTAATTTGGGGGGGGGGGGTAAAACTTCCTTGACCATAGTTTAAATATTCTGTGTACTTAGTGCGAGTATTTTAACGTTCTCGATAGCGTAAAAGTTAACTAAAGTTTGTATGGAGTTGGAACGTTTGCCTACGTTTGCCGCTAGGGGCGCTGTTCCAACTGCATACAAATTAGAGTTAGCTTTTACGCTATCGGGAACGTTAAAAAACTCGCACTTAGCACATTGTATTGCATACGAGGATATTCTGGGCAATTTTCAGAGGTGAGGCGCGTTCACGAATGGCTTCGACGATGAAAGAATGTAAATAAAAAAAATTAGTAAAAAATTATTGCGTAATTAAGAATTGCGGGTCGCCGTCATTTTGCTTTACTGGAAAACGCCATATGCTTAGGAAGAATAGACATAATGAAATCATTCTTCGAAGGACTCCAGTAAGCATTTAAGATCATAACCATGAGCTAGTCTGTCCATCTAAGTCACTGAAGATATTCGAAGACTTCGCAATAATACATTAAAAGTTAATCCAAAGTTGTAGTCAGAATTAGGAAACTAGAATCCACCATCTAAACAAAATTCCATTATTATGATTGACACTTCAAGATTTATTGTCTGTGATGTTGTGAATATGACATTCTTACAAAAACCTCACCCAAAAAAACTCTAAAACTTGCCAATAGCACAGCTATTGATAAAACATACAAAAAGAAAATCGGTTGAAACAGAAAAGAAAAACTTTATTAATCCTTTATTTGGTAGTTAGTATAGTTTGTTTGTAATTATATCATAATACGAACAATAACATTAAAATAATATGTCTTGATTATTTTCACATTCAACAGACACTTTTCTGATTTTATTAATTAGAAAATTGTTAGTTTTGTTCATTATGTATTACATTTCAAAACTTTATTTGATTTTGATCTTTGAGGGTGTAAACTAGAACTTTTTTTTCTTCACTGTGTGGACGAGCTCACCGCCAACCTGGTGTTAAGTGGTTACCGGAGCCTACAGACATCTACAATGTAAATGCCGCTACCCACCTTGAGACATTAGTTCTAAGTCTCAGTTTTTACAGTACAATGGCTGTCGCACCCTTCAGACTGAAACGCATAACTGCTTCACGGCAGAAATAGGAAGAGTGGTCTCTACCCTTGCGGACTCACAAAACGTTCTACCACCAGTAATAAGCTGATATACTTTCATCACTCCTTCGATCTTCTCTCTCCTTTTCCTACTAGTTTTCGTAAATTAAAATTCTCCTCTTTTTCGTGCAGTTCAAAGACCAATGGACATCAAGAACCGGCCCCGTATTCCAATTCCCGACGAGGATCCGTACAGCATCGCCAGTTCGAATGTCAACGGCTCCGGGTCAAGCGGCAGTTCAGGAGGCTACGGACTCGGAAACGGTCACAACGGACACGGAGTCGTCGCGGCTACTAGAGAGCAGCTGATGATGCAGATGGGTCAAAGGCGAGGAGAGAGACCACCTAATCTACCGCCCAGGGAAAATGGATATGGACCAGCTGATATTCCAAAGGTCAGTATCGTGCTTACGCGTTTCCTACAAAGGGGCGGATAATATTTAGCAGTGCTGTGTTCAAGGAACACAGTAACCACTTAGCACCAGGTCAGATGGTCTGTGATTATGACAATAAAAGGTATGTACGGATTTTTATGGCATAGATGGATGAACGATCTCACAGCCTACCCGGTGTTAAGTGGTTATCAGAGTCCATAGACATCCCAACGTGAATGTCGCCACCCGCCGTAACGTCTACCATTTATAATGAAACGCTTAGCCGCAGAAATACGCAAGTGATAGCTGCTACCCTTGTAGCCTCACATTCTGTATTACTACCAGTAAACTTATATTGCTTTCTGATCAATATGCGTTTTTTTTTAATTTCTAAGTTTTTTCTTTTTCTTAAATTGTCGGACGAAGTCACTGCCTATCTGGTGTCAATTGGTTACTGCAGTCTGTATACATCAAACAACGTGAAAGTCGCCATTCATCTTGAGACAAGCACCTCTAAGTCTTAGTTTTACAGTACAACGGCTGCCACATTCTTCAAACCGAAACGCATTAGCGCTTCACGGTAGAAATAGACAGGGTGATGGTCCTTACCCGTGCGGGCTCACAAGACGCCGTGCTAGCTCTAAAATCATATATCAGCATATCAATCATTTTGCAAATCCTTCTAAGCTCTCACAGATTGAAGATTACCCGATAAACTTGTTTCCTGCCTTGTTTTCATTTTAATACATTAGATGTGGTTACTGCATCCCATTGGCGAGGTAATTTTCAAAGTGAAAATTGCAAATAACTTTAGCACGTTATTGGAATTATTTTCATGTGTTTTTTGTTACAATATTACACTTTAGTTTTACTAGATGATGACCGGTTTTTTTTTTGTCACGCCATCTCGTTGTGTCTTTAAAGCGGTTAGTTGCCCTCAATTAAGAAAAATAGTATTATTATTCGCCAATAGATGTCGGGAAGAGTTGGTTATTGAAAACACGAATAAAACAACATTTTCTGAAAATAAATCGTAGCTAGATCGATTTATCGCCCCCGAAATCTCCTGTATACTAAATTTTATGAAAATCGTTGGAGCCGTTTCCGAGATTCAGATTATATTCTTCTCAGTCGCATGCACTCTTGGCAGAGTGGTCGTGGTCATCACTTCGGGTGGTGGTGTGCTTCACCAGACGTCGCCATTCCTCGCGTACCGCGGCCCTTCTTGTGCACTCGTTAACGGGACCGTTTAGAGCTGCCTTTACTTGGTCGGTCCATCGTAACGGTGATCTGCCGCGCGGTCTTGCACCCTCTATCATGCCCTTTTTCACGCCAGATTATATACATATATATTAATATGAAAGAATTGCTCGTTTAAAGGTATAAGATTACTAGTCATTTCATATAGATACGCTATTAGTTGCAATGAAAAAACTTAGAAGTGCCAAAATGATAATTTTAATAATTAACATTTTGGCACTTCTCAATGTTTTTAATTTGAATACAGATATTAAAATTCGAACAAATAAACCAATGCGCATTTTATGTTGAGTTATTTTCCTAATCTCAAATACTAAGACCAGTAATTGGTAAACTTGATTCACCACATTTATATGTATATATTTCATTAATAATCTCGAAACTTTTATAACAGCTAATGAATCAATAAAAAATAAAAAAAACATCAGACTTGATAAGAGCCATCTTCAAATTAATCCATATGGAGCGTTCACAAAAACAAAATGAAAAAAATCTTGTTTTTAAATCGACTAAATATTCATGAAGAAAATAAATATTAAATTAAAATGTTATAGAAAATTTCGAAACTTATATTAATTTATAATGCTTGTTTTTTTAATTACACGATTATTTAGATGTTTTTTTACATTTAACATTTTTGAGATAATATCAACTACAAGATATTTTTATGTATTCGAAATAATGCTTTACCGACATAATTTTCCAGGTCATATAGTAAAAAATAAAACATACTCGTCTATAAAACAAAATTAGACCACATTAGTCTCCCAAGCGAATAAAATATACATTGCGATTTTCAACTTTACGCTAAATTTGGTGATGCAATGAAAGATGGAATCAAATTTTAAACAAAACTAGAGGTCCCGCAGTAGTCGAAATTCGACTATAATTAATTGGAATTGTAAGTTTGTACACTATTATGATTGTATTTAATACTTCTATAATCACAAATTTCGCCAAGACTATACTATAAAAAATATTAACAAAGACAAACCATATTCTATTCTCAATTTGACAACAGACGTCAAGAACAAAAGTTTGACAATAAATAGTATGCATGCGTGTGTGCGTCAAATACATGGTATGTAGTGTGTGTAATGTTTTCTTTATTGATTTAATGTATCTTTTATGCATTATTTTAAAAAAATATTATCATTGTGCACTTCTTCTCTATATTCTCTATAAGTGTGGAAAATTTCATACTCCTCCGTCCGCGCAATTTTCGTAAAAAGGGATACAAAGTTTTTACTTCACGTATTAATATGTAGATGTAATGTTAAATATACTTATCCTTTGAAAGCTCAGAATAAAACCGCAGCTCATAAATAAAATAAACACTAACCATATCGTATTGATAAAGTCTAAATTTATGCTAATTGAAACCCCGAAAATAAATGCAGGCGCTTTGTGTACTTCTTTCTAATCTTATTTTATTTATTATCAACGTTTCTGAAGATTTGACTCAATAAACAAATTTATATTTTATATTTTAAGGGAGCATTTATTAATTACACTGACTTGGCGCACAGTCGTTATTGCTCCTGATGCTCCTCCTCTTTTACTGGTGGTAGAACGTCATGTGAGTCCGTACGGGTAGGTACCACCACCCTGCCTATTTTTGCCGTGAAGCAGTAACGCGTTTCGTTTCGAGGGTGGGGCAGCCTGAAAACTGAGACTTTCAAGGTGGGTGACGCATTTACGTTGTGGGCTATGGGCTCCAGTAACCACTTAACACCAGGTGGGCTGTGAGCTCGTCCAACAATCGAAGTAATAAAAAAAAATACATTAGTGCGATAAACAGTTTATTTGGTCTCCGTATCTTCCTGTGCGTTATGAAAATATGTTTTATTACATGAATCGAAACAAAAAAACCGTGACTGTAATATTCTTAAAAAAAAATTGGTAAAAAAACACCGTTTGTATGTACTATAATCAAAACAACGTAAAGAGAGAGAGAGAGAGAGAGAGAGAGAGAGAGAGAGAGAGAGAGAGAGAGAGAGAGAGAGAGAGAGAGAGAGAGAAGAGAGAGAATACACTTTATTGCACACCAAAACACAATTTACATTCAAAAAACAATCAAAAAAAGCAGATACATTTGTACAATATTTAAATTTGTTTAATACTAAACGGGATCCTATATTTATCCTAATTAATCCTAAATATATTCAGTCTTAGAAAGTATTATTAGCATGAAATCTCTAAAATTACATCACCGTCCCAAGATATCGTCAAAAACGACTAATTATGCACAATTAATTCATATAATTCCGTATTAAGACGTTGAAAGTGGTATATTTAATCCATCTCAACAAATCTCACGACATTATTATGCAACTTATTATTTCGGTTGTGCCACAATTTTACTATCTCGTTCGCGACCTGAGGCTTTATCCGCTAACACATATTTCTTACTAGCGACCCGCCCTCGCTTCGCTTCGGAAACATTAAATTTTATTATTGATAGTTGAGTCCCGCGATGTTACCCGCGGTAATTGTCGTACCGCGGATGACGCCGTGGGGCGAAGCTAATCTAAAAGAAGTAGCCTAAGTTACTCCTTATATCATCAGCTACCTGTCAGTGAAATTCCTGTCAAAATCAGTCCAGACGTTCCAGAGATTAGCCAGAACAAACAGAGAGACAGCCAGACAGACAAAAATTGTAAAAAATGCTATTTTGGTCTATGTACCGCATATATTCATATGCATGTAGTAAAAAGCGGTTATTTTAATATTACAAACAGACACTCCAATTTTATTTGTATGTATAGATTACGCAAGAACCGCGTTTATTTATCAAATAACATAATAATAATCTAATAAGTTCTCAATATAAAAAATATAAAAAACGAGGTGAAAGTTCAATACGATTAACGCTTGTCGATTCGTAATTCTTGTCCGACAGTTGTAGACAAGGCGTATTGCAACTTCAATGTCGAACAATGGTAGCCCTCGGCGGGATATCAACTTATCTTACATCTCATCTATGTAGTGTCCGAGATAAACGATTGTAAGCGTTCACTTCAGTTTGTTATTTACTTAAACGCTTCGTTCTCTTGAACGATCCTTTGATATTATACAAATTAACTGTCTTTTGTACGCCGGTTAGCCTTCACTTTTAGAGCTTACACGTTGAATGTACTAGATTAGCTCACGGTACACGAGTGCTGACGAAGCCCGTTATATTGTTAGGAAAGTTACAATCGCGTAAGTTTTGTGTTGTGTCATCATTGTATTTTACTGGTGGTAGGACCTCTTGTGAATCCGCACGGGTAGGTACCACGACCCCGTCTATTTCTGTCGTGAAGCAGTAATGCGTTTCGGTTTGAAGTGTGGGGCAGCCGTTGTAACTATAGTGAGATCTTAGAACTTATATCTCAAGGTGGGTGATGCATTTAAGTCGTAGATGTCTATGGGCTCCAGTAACCACTTCACACCAGGTGGGCTGCGAGCTCGGTAACCCAACTAAGCAATAAAAATAATAATATAGGGTACTGTTCAAACGCCAAACGTAAAGATACTGTATGGATTCATTTTTCTACCTCTTAATATTGTTTTGTTATTAAACCCTTATTTACTATCTAATTAAAGTCATACCCAACTGTGAAATCTACATAATGGTGAATCTCAATTTGTGGAAGACTCGGATATCCCTTAAAAAAAGACGTATTCGATTTAGGTGATTCAGTTGGTAAATTCTCAGATAAAATGACTAGATTGTATTCCAATTGTCGATAAATCTTACTATTTTATACGATATGGTATAATTTTGGAATTTATGTAATTTATCAATGATTTAATTATTAGACAAAGTATTTGCGTCGTGGAAATCAAACTATTTAAACAAAATAACTCCTACTGACCGCTAAACAGCTAAATATAGCACTTGTGATTTACTTTTGTTAATAAAATGTTGATTTGCTGACATTATTAAAGGTTACTCATACATATCAGACCGTGAAAGTCGCTAATCACCTTAAGACATGAGTTTGAAGTCCATATTGTATTATATATATGGGTTTTTCCATTATTTAAATGAAATACATATTCGCGACAGAGCTAGATAGAATTTTGGTACCTATGCGTACCAAAAACAATTTATTTTATTACAGTAAAATAAAAATATACCTTAACATCAATCTTCTTATCTTGACAAGGCGGTAAGATGTTATTGCACTGACAATTTTATTCTATGACACAATATTTAAGCTGTGTAAGCTCGTGCGTTAGCACGCGTATTCGGCATTAATCTTGTCTAAATTTAATGTAAGTTTTCTTATATCTGTCCGTAATTTTTATTTATAATACTTATATAATACAACAAAAACAATTTTTTTTTCCGATCTAGCTTTGACCATAGTCAATTGCTTTTGATCTATGTTGTCAATGTGCATTGTGTTAGTAGGATTCGATAAGCCGTAAGGTTATTAAAAATAATAATTGGAAACAGTTCATTTTTTATTTTCCGCCTTTACAAGGAAAATATCAATAGTAAAAAAGAGAAAATGTAACAAACACATCTTTAATGAACCGTAATGTATCGCAGATAAAAAGGTATCGTTTACAAAAGAAATACGTTCATAATACACATTTTAGCGAACTTGTTATTAATTACATATATTAAAATAAGATAGAAGTAACAAATAAAATGTAAAGATTTTTCTACAATAACGAAAATTTATTCATGTTAACATTATACCTATGATAATGACAATACAATTTAAAAGTACTGTTAATTTAATGCAAAAAACTGCTTTATCAAAATTACAAAACACGATGTTGTACCTCGTAAAAATCTTTTAGTGAGATTTTTATATAATAATGAAATTCTTTATTATTTATTTTCAGCCGGATTATGATGACATCGAGGCTAACGGTCGCGGTCCAGCGCAGTTTCCGAGAGGAAAATCAGACAAAGGCAAAGAAAAGAAATATGGTAAGCATAATAATAAAATATCTGACACTAAAACCCAAACTATTACTATATATATTTATATTATAATGCAATTTTAATTGATATGTTAGTTGATTGAGAGGAATCGAATTATTCTTGGTTTCTGCGTAACACTATATATTCACGTTGCAATCTAATTTTGCCTAAGCAATGACTTTACAAACTAATCTATCAGAGTAAAACAAAATACAATAATTAATTGAAATAAGCTATGAATATTGTTGGCAAAAAGAAGTCGTAGCTTGAGACGACTAAAAGCCGAAGACTATTTGCTTAGCTGTAGCATGCTCTATTGGAGACCAAAATCATACAGTGAATCGACGAAAATTTATTAATTTCAGTTTTACCATATGGTTTTGTCTGTAATGTCATATTTGTGTAAAACCCCATCACATAATCTACTGTTAACTAAACTAGACTCATGCAACATTTTTTTTAAATGAAAAATGTGAATTCATTTTTATAAATAATAAAATTAGATTTGATTGGACGCTCGACTCAAACGTTGTCGCGAAATAATTGTCTATGTAATTCACAAAAGTAGAAACAAAAAAAAAAGGATTTTTAAGAAAAGAAACTGTTTATATCGGAATTTATTAAATAGTATTTGGATATGAGATGATTAGAATCTTAGAAAAGCCACTCATTTCCTAACTTTAACGTGAAACTACAAGAAAGTAAATTACACGGAAAAACCAAAGATAAATACAATATTCTAGAAGCATCTAGAATTTTGTTGGAACGAAATTCCTAAATAACGAAATCCTTTCGTTAATTAGTCGTAGGAGATAAATTTACCTCATCAGGAGTGGTACCACGTGTTCTGTCTTGCTCAATGGGCTATTATAGTATTTAAAATGGTCAAGTTTAAAATACGCCTTAAGAATGGTAGCTCGCTTCACTTGCCTTATATGGACGATCTGCGCCTCATAACTCCTCAGCGTTCGACAAATGGCCACTGAATTACAAATACTCGAGTTTATTTTGTTTTTTGACCTAGTAATGTGAGACAATGTACGTTAGCTAGTGAGAGGTCAGACCGGCTACTGATTTTTTTCTCAAGGTGTGTGTACCTCAATGCTCTTTGCAGATTACTTTGGAATAGAGGGGTTTCTTAATTGATATTTTTAAATAATTAATCATTAAATAATCAATAGCTCGTGAAGACGTAGCGTGAATAGTCCTTCCTAGTAGGCTAGTAGCCTGAGTAAACCGACGATCAGTTGAAGGTCGCGAGAATTCGCTGGATGCAGGTCGCGCAGACCCGGTTCTTTTGGCGAGGCTTGGACGAGGCTTATATCCAACAGTAGACTTCTGTGGGCTGAAAGATAGAATCATTAAATACCAAAAACAGTACCAGATAACATTTTTTTTATAATTACACTAAAGAAACAACTTTACCTATTTATTCAGGTTACTTTTGACTGCGTCTTGGTTACTAGGGCTCATATTTAAACTATACTTTCGCCACTCGCCTTGAGACACAAAGTTACATTTGTATGTATAACCGGTATTTCAAGAAATCTCTTGATCACTTCAGTGGTTATACGGAACGAAATCATTATTGTCGTTCGTTTTCCCATACTAATATTTCTTAACTACTAATATTTCCCAGCCCACTAAGTTTCTCGTCGGATCTTCTCAGTGGGTCGCGTTTCCGATCCGGTGGTAGATTCTGCGAAGCACTGCTCTTGCTAGGGCCAGTGTTAGCAACACTTCCGGCTTGAGCCCCGAGAGCTCACCTACACGCTAGGGTGAAGCTGAAATAGCTTCTCAAGGCTATCAGCATAGGTAGGAAAAAAATACTAATATTTCTAACAATTTTTTTGCCATATTTATTCCACTGGAGTCACAATATTTAACAGAGACCGCGTTAAATACGTTTCTTTAATAAAAAATATTTTCTTATATACGCTCTAAGATAATGTGAATCTATGGTATAAATCACGAGATTAACCTTTATGCGTTACACTTCACAATGAGTCGTTGCATTGCGTTCATTCCGAGTGTCCGTGGATCGGCCAAACACTCGTTGACAACGCGAATTTATAGCCCGGACAGACAATTTATACGAAGGTACGGACCAAGTGTGAACATTATATCAAACACTTGACACAACATCATTTATATAGGATCGTTGTCCACGTGCCTTACAACGATTTATGGCGGCAAAATAATATTAGAGGGTATTTAAGATAGACTTTATATTTGAATATTCGGTAGGACAAATAGCAAAGTTTGGAATACGCATGCCTAAAAAAAATGGTATGAATCACAAAAAATAATGTGAAGCTATTTGACAATATCGCTCATGACGTAATTACTACTACTTCGGATTCCGCCAATTTTTTTTTGTTTTTCTTTTATTGCTCTTGTAGGCAGACGAACATACGGCCCACCTGATGGTGAGTGGTTACCGTCACCTATGGACTTCAGCAATGCCAGGAGCAGAGCCAAGCCGCTTAGACATAATGGAATAATAATATATTTTACGGTTTAATCGCGGCTTAATCTTTTACGGCTTTTTCTAGTCGAACGGCAATGATCACGAAAACTGTAAAATATTTAAAACGTCGGAAATTATAAAATTAAAATTGACAAAAAATTAAACCGTAAAAGTAATTTTAATGAATACATGTCAATTTTACATCATTACATCAAAAATACCAAAAGTATTTAGAAATCAAATGATTTAGATCAGAGATCCCTCCTGTCACTTCGAATTTTGGTTACCTTTTACGCTCTATCACATATGAGTGATTGGATTTGACGTTTTTTATTCACGGTCTAGGTTTTCACGTATCGTTGCCTTTGACGTTATAGTGACGTAAAAACTAATACACAAAAACAAAACAACGGTAATGTAATAAATCATTTTTACGAACCCTTTTTTTTACAAACAACCTAACCTCAAATTTGAAAGTGTATTGTGTCTGTGAAGCCTAATGCATTAATGAGATCCTATAATAGGGATTTTGGATGCAGACTCAATAATATCAAAGGAATTTCAATTAAATTTATGGGTTCAATAAATACCGACTTTTCACGTTCTCCCCGCACCTCCGAGGCTTTTGACTTCGCCCAGAACCAACTAAAAGGTTACGCCTAGACAATGCCCTGACGTTTTGCAATGTTGATCGCTTTGGCATTTGAACGTATCCTTGATATTTGAAACGACTGTATTCGGATCCAGTCTCGTGTAGGATGCGGATATATAACAGAACTGACATGTTCATTTACTTTGACGGGTTCTTTATTATTATTATTTTCATATACATTTTCTAAGAAATGGTTTTTTTTTCCTACCTGTGTTGATAGCCTTGAGAGGCTATTTCAGCTTCGCCCTAACCGGGGCTCAAACAGGAGTCTTGCTAACACTGGCCGTAGCAAGGGCAGTGCTTCGTAGAATCTACCACCGGATCGGAAATGCGACCCACCGAGAATATCCGGAGAGGAACTCAGTAGGCCGTGTCTGTGGGTTAATTCGGTGACCAGTGCTTGTGGTACCTAAGAGCACCGTTAATGGGTAGCCGAAAGAAATGTCCAGAACGTTTAGCGTAACGATTAGTTATTTACATAATAAACTTGTATATTGCTATAACTGGTTTGATTTGTTTATTTTCAGACGACCCCTACTATTGCGGGCTACGCGCCCGTGTGCCAAACTTCGTGAAGGCGAACGGAGCTAAAGTCCTCCCGACGATGACGGAGCGGCTCACGCTGAAGGAGGTGCCGGTGCCGAGCAAGCGGTTCAGCGTGGCGCACCCCCACGGCGCCCCTTACCCCCCGCATCCACACATGCCCCCCGCTGCTCTCTGGCACGCGCGCTCCTACGAAAGCGGAATCGGTGCGTACAGACCCCCTCGGAAAGAGAAGCTCATGTACCAATTCTATCCGAACAGGGAGCCCAGGCTGCGGCCGCTGATCATCCAGCAGCCCCGCTAGTACATGTACAGACTAACCCCGCACTTTAATCCCACCGCCTCGACGCGGACTCTTCGCTCCAACTCTTGGTATTTAAACGTTTCTCTTATTTNCTCCTACGAAAGCGGAATCGGTGCGTACAGACCCCCTCGGAAAGAGAAGCTCATGTACCAATTCTATCCGAACAGGGAGCCCAGGCTGCGGCCGCTGATCATCCAGCAGCCCCGCTAGTACATGTACAGACTAACCCCGCACTTTAATCCCACCGCCTCGACGCGGACTCTTCGCTCCAACTCTTGGTATTTAAACGTTTCTCTTATTTAGACGCCTTCGCTTTGTAGCACTCCGCCTCTAAGCTTCTCTTCTACACTCTTTGTTCTCACAACTCACGTTAATCATTATAATTCCTCATGTTTCCTTCTTCGCACTAAGGCTTATACTTAGCTGTCACCATAAAGTAGATACGCTTCTTGAAAACTATACGAAAACATTTCCGGCTAGGTTTTAATAGACATCATGCCCATTAGAAAGTGTCTTCGTCATAACAATAAAATAACAACCTAAATAATCTTGCAGACGGAGATCATTACGATCCATACGCGTTGTACGGGCGGCTTCCGGTGCCTGGTCGTGGCTTCCCTCCGCCTCCCGCGCCTCATGCACGACACATGTTCATTGGAGATTGGGATTAAAGTGACCGACAACTTGACAACACGACTTGACCACATTAGATCATAATATGACGTTGGGATATTTTCACATCGAAATATTATAAATACCAAAATCAAAACGTAAAAATCTTGGAAACATGACGATTTAAAATTGTTTTTCCACCCGACAAAACGATTTTAAATTACTATGGTTTAATTTTTAGATAATTTCGACAATGACTAAAGACTGAAGTCTTAAATATTAATATGTTTTTCAACGACGTTGTCGTGTGTGGTTGATGTGGCGATATCTCAAAAGTAATGCGTATTGTAAATAATAATCAATCTTGTAAGTAGTACATTTTGTAATGAATAAATAATTCAACGTTGGAAATTTGTTTTTACTGTATACAATAATTTTAATTGAAACAAAATTTTGCAATGACGAGATTTTATTTTCAATTTGCACATACATCTCTTACAATGTGTATTTAATATGTTAACCTAGTTTACTAAGTTTAAACCTTAAGTTAACTATCACTGCCAAGTTATTTAACGAATTCTTGTGAAACAGCATCACATTTTTAAATAAATAATTTCATAAGTTGTGTCAATCCTAGTCAATACAGGGTTGGGAATAATTTTAGATGTAATTTTTAAATTTTTAATAAAAACCTAGCTTTTTTACATTTGTATCGTTTTTGTACTAATTATACAATTATTTATATTGAAAATACTTTGCAAAAAACAAATGTAACAATTAAAGTGCATTTTCCTCAAATAAACGTATTATGCATTTCTTTTTTAAATTATTTGGTTCAATTGAATACAATATTTATATATTATATACTTGAAACCACTAAAATATTTAGTATATATTTTTTGGCTTGTGTATATTCCATTTTGTAAGAATCAAAAATATTTTAATATATCTTCTTTTAAGTAAGTTCTTTTGTAAATAAACTAATTTTCGTTTTAAATTTTTAAGATTGTATTCATTCCTAATATCTCCTTCAATACTCAATTATTAATTTTTAATTCATAATTTACAATGTAGTTGAAGACGATGTTAAATAATTTATTATTGTCACAATTACCTTAATTAGTTTTAAATTTGTATACAGTTTTAGTTTAATATCAATATTGACGAATATGATTAAGAGCAGTTCCTTGAAGAGGTATTGCCGGATGCTTTCCGTGGTTTTTCTAGAGCGGAAACTTAGTTTGTAATGACGGAAAATATTCAAAATTAAGATTTCGGGGTGCTACTGACGTTACCATATTGTATCTTGTTTATTATTATAAATAAATATAAAGATACGTAAATAATTCATTGATAGCGATATATTTTTTAAACGAGACATTTCATAAGCATTTTAAGCATCGACAAGATATATGAGTCGACTATTATCAAAGGCGGCAATCTGACTTTTGGACAATGATTGGTAAATCAGAAAAACGAATTATTGACTTTGTATTCCATTGGCAGTCACAAAACTCTTCTGAACGACATCTTAGATAAATAACAGGTTAAGTATTAACCTTTATTTAATGCAGGTTTTGAACCGTATTCTTTGAAGGAGACGATTATATTCAAATAAATCTGTATTGACATATCAATAAATTTTTTTTGTCCAAATGTACAGATTGCCGCCTTTGATAATAGACGACTCATATTTTTGTAATTATTTTACTATATACGTTTATATCACATGTAATTTGTAACTATAATATAAGAAAAAACATAAGTTTGATATCAAATATTTTCCATTAATTGGAAAAAAAAACATCCAACAAACAAGATCAACATCCAACTGTATTTTGTATTTTAGGGTGTTGGTTCACGAATAACATTATTGTTAAGAAACATGTATATGAATAAAGTTAAATTTATTTTAGTATAATATTATTGTTTTATTTTATTTTAGCATTTCTTTATAATGGAATTACATTCCGTCTGTCGTAATATTTCGGTAATGGCTTCATTTTTTAATCGAAAACTTGTACATTACATTCATGTCTTACACTGTACATTGCTAAATCGATTCAACCAAAAGCTGACGTAATCTTGTGCATTTTGTAGTTTTGTAAGGATACCTTACTTTTTCGTTACTAATGTCATTCGTGTTAATATTATCAGAATACAAAATCAGAATCTGTTCACTCTAAATTATAATATAAAAAAATAAGAACATTACAAGCACTTCAATTTGCTTCTCTACATAAGCTAACTAACCGTAAGCGGTAGATAGGTAAGCAGTAGAAGAAAGGGAATAAGAGAAAAAAATCTACGGCTCATTATTACGACCCTATTAACAATGTTATCTGTCGAGAATTTACGCGGAATAGGTACCGATGAAGAGACATTGTCTCCACTTTTATTCAGATAAAAGTCATCTTCAAAGTTTTCAGGGAGCGTTTCCCTTTCCTACTGGTATTTTGTAAATAAATTACAATTATCTTAAATAATCTGACGTGAATATTTTAAAATTAAAAGAATATGAGATGGTAAAAGACAAAAAAAAAGATTAGTTCACGAAACTTTTGATTTAAATTTTATTAACCAAGTACATAATAATATTATAGCATTCTAGTACCTAGGTTGTATGCTTTATTTCATTTGGTTTGTTATAGTCACCAAGGCCTATCCATTTTTTTATCAAATATTTTATATAATACCTAGCTTCGATAAGTTCTTCAGGATCGCCAGATCTGTTTGAAAATAAATCTCTGCAATGGGATGCACGTGGAATAACTTTTGCTGGAGCTTCATAAGATAAATCTTCTAGAATACTTAATCTATGATATGGGTCTAGATCACCGTTAACAAACACCACCTTTGTTACATTAGGAGTTAATCCACCATACATCATATTGGTTTCCTTAACCCCAGCCTCTATTCTCTTTTCGTCAAAGTCCGGACCAAAAGTTTTAGTACACATTTTATAAAACAGGTCCATACTTATATTATCAGTAAAAGGATGTTTGTTTGATGATGTGCTCGGAAAGTAGCTGAATTCAGTACAAGTTTGATATGTCCACGAAACGAGCCAGTCTATTTCTTTCGTGTTTTGAATCATTTCGTCAAATTCATAATCGTAACAATTATTTTTAGTGTCGTAAAAAACGTTTTCCTCTTCTTTAGAAGAAAATACAAGAGATGTATTTTTAATATCTTCGCAATACGTTTTAATGACATCTGCGTTCCCGTATTGTGCAATGTACATAAATGCAGAGCTTTTATCCAAAAAGAATAATTCCTGATTTTCGACTTTCGTCATATCGGTGTCTTCACAGATGTACTCCTCCTTTTTAAGTTGTTTAATGCCATCTACTGTTCGAAATCGTTTCTCGTATGTAGTAAAAATTTCATTAATTTTCTTCATACAGTCTTCAGTACCGTGTTGTTCAAAATCATCGCTGACGTGTTCTAAATATTCGTAAAAATCTTTCTTTGCTAATACCGGAGCGCTACTAGCTATAGCGGCGTTAATTAAATTGGGATACAGCAGTCTCATCCAAGCAGCCAAATTACCTGCGTATGATCCTCCAACAGCAACAATTTTCGAATTTTCATATTGAGGTTCCGATTTGACTGACTCCAACAATCTAGCGGTATCCGCGAGGGCTTGCCTTGAACTTAGGAACTTTAGATTTTCAGTTGTGAGTTCTTCAAAAGGCTTGCTCTTTCCATAGTATCTGTGTTCAGATAGCAACATAGCCCCGTTTGTTTCCTCGGCTAATTCATACAAAATACCAGTTTGAAGAAATACCTGACTTGCTTCACCCTCACCGTACATAAATAAGTATATAGGACCATCTTTCTTCCATTTATCTAATCTTTCCATATACCTCATATTCCAAGTATTTATATTTTTTTTATCGAAATGATCTAAAGGCTGCTCTATCCACTTGATTTTGATAGACGATGTATCAAATGACGTCAGCGTAGAATTTATATCTTGAAGCAAATATCTGTACCCATTTCCGAGTCCGTTCAATACAAATCCAAAACCAACACTAATACAAGCGAGAATTATGTTAATCCCAATAAAGAACATGTTTATCCCTCGCTATCGAGTTGTTGATAATGTTAAACACACTAATGCAAACCTACATTTTATATGTGTATTTTATACCATTTAAGTGCACGTACCTACGATTTGAATAGTATGTCTCTCCATGCTAGTTTCCATGTAACTACATGCGGGCCTATTTACATAATTATATTTTAAGACATTTATTTAAATAATTGTAAATAGGACAATAGGAATAATATTTTATTGACATAGATAGGCGGATAGCTTTACGGATCGCCTAGTTGCTAAAACCTGCTATTCAGGTACCAACATCATTGTGAATATGCGGTGCCTATCTTATCGCTCAACGTCGAAGTCTCAGTTTCATAAGATTAACGGCTAACGTTGAAGTTGGAATACATTATAACTGTGTCAAAGTGTGATATTACAAAGGGGGAAACACTTAGGATTGTGGCGTCCCATCTGGACATAGCTGACAGGCACACTGTAATAGGTGCTTTTCACCTATTGTAATTAAAATTTAAATGTTATTTTCTCATGATATAAAAGCCCATAGTTACCAGATAATAGGCTCAAAAAGAAAACCAGGCCTTTATAATATATAGTATTACTAGCAGACCCGGCCACACGTTGCTGTGGCTAAGGTTTTTGTTTCTAAATAACACGCGTCCGGCTAGCCATGCTAATACCAAAAATTAACAAAGTAAGAACAATTGGATTTCACTGTATTGCGTTTACTACGAAATAAATTTCATTTATACTTTAGCCTCAGCAACACGTGCTGTTTATGTTATTAAATTGTAGCTTATGTGAAACGTTGGTATTTTTAACACAGCGCCGCAATTAATAAATATTGCGCCCATTAATCGAAAAAAAAACCATCCTATGGCTTAAATTGGAACAAAACATATTTAAAAAAAAAGTTAAAATCGGTTCAATAATTTAGGTGTCGTTTTTTTTATTGCTTAGATGGGTGGACGAGCTCACAGCCCACCTGGTGTTAAGTGGTTACTGGAGCCCATAGACATCCACAACGTAAATGCGCCACCCACCTTGAGATACAAGTTCTAAGGTCTCAAGTATAGTTACAACGGCTGCCCCACCCTTCAAACCGAAACGCATTACTGCTTCACGGCAAAAATAGGCAGGGTGGTGGTACCCACCCGCGCGGACTCACAAGAGGTCCTACCACCAGTAAAAAACCAGTCCGTCGCGGACAAACAACATGACACGTAATTTATGTATATTAAGGTAATATATAGTAGGTCGCATTCGCATCGTTAAATCGATGGTCTACGGTAATCAGTTAACGCTTGGTGGTTCAATACGCTTTGCAATACAGAGTTCTAACTAAGATAGCAATTTTAACATAAACGCTGAAAGGTAAACGAAATTGCCGGCCGAGTATTAACAAATGGTACTATTCAGATAACATGAACCCCATGAAGACAAATTCTCAAAATGTTGTGATAGATCAGATTCCTTTATAAAGATAAGTCGTTCAGTGAAAATTTAAGTGCGTAAATTGTAATATACATTGGCTGTATTTATACTTTCACTGCGGTATGGTTATATTGCACAGCACTCTTAATAGACGGCTACTTTATTTTTTTATTGCTTACGTGAGTGAACGAGCTCACGGCCCACCTGATATTAAGTGGTTACCGGAGCCCACAGACATCTACAACGTAAATGCCGCCACCCACTTTGAGATAAAAGTTCTAAGATCTCAGTATAGTTACAACGGCTACCCCACCCTTCAAACCGAAACGCATTACTGCTTCACGGCAAAAATAGGCTGCGTGGTGGTACCTACCTGTGCGGATTACAAGAAGTCCTCCCACCAATGATACTCTAATCAGATTTTTTGCTATAGCAATAGAATCCACTAATTTTCATTAGTGCAACTTCAGACTTGCCCATGACGAGTCAGTTACTCGTTGCCATAGATTATACACTTAATAATTTGTTGCCATAGCAACAACCGCCAAACACTCCGACAGCTTGCATCTATTTATTTCAAATTAATTCAGACTCGACCTACATTTTTGTTGGTGGATACTAATTAAGGAGGCGTTAACGTTAGTGCGATTATGGATTTTTCCGATGGCAGTGGGAGTATACGGTCCGACACGACGCGGCCAGTTTCCAGAAGGGGTTATCGCGAGCACACGAATAACGGCTCTGCTCTTTCACGGTAATCAATGTTTTAGTTTAGTTCTGGAATATTCCAATGATTTCAATTATATCGGTATTCTCTAAGATTTTAAAACAAATGAGACAAAATTGTCAGCAAAAAAATTAACGGTTTAATTAAAAAGAAAAATAAATAATCTTGAATAAAAAACTATTTCAGTCGATAAAAGCAATAATATTATTTTTCAATTCTTTATTTTTTCATTCTATTTTATTTATTATCTGTAAACTTATTTAACTTTAACTTTAGTCATAATTTGAATTTATAGAATTGTAGTGTTGTTAAGCCTAATAATTGAACCTAGTTTTCTTTTCTAAGACACATTGCGTGTTCTGTAGACCTTTCACGAGACACAGTCTTCAGTCCTTAGTGAACTACTTATAGCAACGATACTCTTAATTATCTTCCACGGGACTCTCAGCTACTTTGGACACGTTGTCGTAGAGAGAGAGAGAGCTAGGTATAAAGGATCATGCGATCAATCGTCTCCGCGTTGTGTAAAACAAATAAAATTCCTCACCGATCTATCGCCTCTTAACTGAGGTCATAGAGAAGGCAGAGAACGGAGAAACATGTAAAGGTTTGCCGCTAATAATAATAATCATTTATTTCAGATCATATTTTAGCCCATATATAAAAATGTAATTTGGAAATACATAATAATAATATATTTATCCTGCCTATCCGCCGCATCAGGGATGCTGCTCGTTTCCTAAGTATTGCGGCAAAGCCGTCAACACCGGCATCTGCAAACATCCCCGACGCGCTACAGAAACACGGCAGCCCCATCAGTGCCCTGAACCCATCGTTATATTGGACGCCAGTTGCGTATACTACCCATAGGCTGCAGGTGTAAATAAATAATAATAAGCTAAAATTTATGTAAGGAAATTGGGACCAGATTCAGCGAAGACCACCTAAAAGACGCAGGAAAAAATGTCAAAACATACAAAAGCATAGTAAATGTATATCAAATTAATGAAAATAGTAATTTATTATAATACATCACGTATGTCCGTTCCCGGGTCCAAATAAATTTGTTTTTAGAAGCGGCAGTATGCGTCCCACATCTGCATATCGAGGCAGTACCGCCTCCAGACTGACGACCGGCTTTGGTCCTGCTCCTCCAACAGCAGGCCGACAACAAACTGCCGTTACCGGTTTTTCCATGGTTTGTTTTAAATTAATTAACCAATCCAAAAATAAAATACCTTTTTATTATTATTGCCCTTGTAGGCAGACGAGCATACGGCCCACCTGATGGTGAGTGGTTACCGTCGCCCATAGACTTCAGCAATGCCAGGGGCAGAGCCAAGCCGCTGCCTACCGTTGGGTACTCTCCACAAGCCTCGTTTGAAAAAGGACAAGTCATAGCGCTCGAGAAACACTGTGGAGGGGAGCTCATTCCAAAGCCGTTAGAATCATATTTTTCATAATTCACGTGTATATTTTAAAAAGAAATCAATTAAATGTGCATTATTAAGGATGACTCATAAACTATTGGTCAAATCTTGATAAAATTTAAATTTTGATGGTAAATATAAAAAACAATCAAGTTCTTTTCACCTTTTTTGAAGACGATTAAAAAAACCAAATTAAGCAGTGAAACTAAACAAAGAAATCTTGCTGATGTGCGAATGTTAGCTTATAGAATACAGAAAGACATAATATTATATACCTCGATACCTATACATAATTATGTACAAATGATTCATAGCCCTTCTCATCTTATCTCATCGATTGAATTTCACAATGAAGGAGACCACCACTCCTCAGAGTGGACCTTCGCGACCTTATAATTTAATTAAAGTTTATTAATTTCCCCAGAGTCTTTGAGTCTTCGTTATTTACAATATTAAGACGATCATACCTTCATCTTAAGACAAAATCTCTATTTACTATTTTGCGAATCGTAGACAAGGAACGAGATCTCGGTCTAGCTGGTGTTAAATGGTTCATTATGTCTATGGACAGCTACACGAATTCCGTCGCCCATCTTGTGCTGTGAGGTTGAAAACTAAAAGATATGTTTAATAAAAATGACTTAGTCTCAACTTACTTATCAATATAGGTATACTTATTTCATTAAATACTTTAATACTTTCTGAAATAGATTGATCGACCAATTACTCAACAAGGTATCTCAGGATTACGAACTGGTACTGGTCGCGGTTTTCGGACCAGACAGCTACAGGACAAACGATATTGGGAAGAATTGATGCAAGTGAAAATTAGAGAAATGAAAGCTGAAATAGCGAGATTGAGTGAACAAGCTGAGGCAGGTGAGAGAGAGAAGTCCGCGAAAAAGCACTATGAGAAGCGAGTCAGGGAATTGGCACAAGAACTAACCGGTAAGATTGATATTGTAAATATTTGTTTATGAACAGCTCCTTTTAAGTTAATTTAGACCAAATAGCGGAGGAGGAAGTGACGGTACCTGTCAGCGACGCACTCCACCAAGCTACAAAACGAGATCGATGGAGACAGCTGGTTGACGGAATCGGACGGAGTCACGATCCTCAGCAGCGAAGGACCTATCGAAGAGAGAGAGAGCAGCTATAGACTTTTCAAAAATCACTACCTACATAGTATAAAACAAAGTCGCTTTCTCTGTCCCTATATCTGTCTATCCCTATGTATGCTTAAATCTTTAAAACTACGCAACGGATTTTGATGCGTTTTTTTTTAATAGATAGAGTGATTCAAGAGGAAGGTTTATATGTATAATAACACCCATTAAATAGTGGAGAAATCAATAATAAATTACAGTTTCCGAAGCGAAGCGAGGGCGGGTCGCTAGTCGCTTTTCGGTAGGCAGCGGCTT